TGGGTTTTGGGTTTTGGGTTTGGGGTTTGGGGTTTAGGGTTTTGGGTTTAGGGTTTAGGGTTTAGGGTTTAGGGTTTTGGGTTTAAAGGGTTTAGGGTTTAGGGTTTAGGAGTTTAGGTTTAGGGTTTCGGGTTTAGGTGTTTAGGGCTTTAGGGGTTTAGGGTTCAGGGTTTCGGGAAAAGGGGGTTAGGGGTGTAGGGTTTAGCGGTTTAGGGTTTCGGGTTTAGGGGTTTAGGGGTGTGGGGTTTAGGGTTGAGGGGTTTAGGGTTTAGGGTTTAGATTCACCGATACCCTGATTTCATGATGGGTGTTGAGGGTGTGTTTTTTAAAGTAGGGTTTCGCAGGGTTTGGGGTTCATGGTTCAGCGTTCACCTGTATTCCCCCAACACTTACGTTGTCAAGGACGTACATAAGGAAATCATACATAAGAAGCACTGGAAACGTAGGCTCGGTGCTACCAGCCTCGAAAAAGCACTTTGACCGCCGTCCGCCCATCCAGGTGGTACGGGTAATTTCCGATCCTATCGCGTCCATGAGCCTGCGGCAAATTACTCCACTGACTGCGCCGCCTGTTTCGGTTGGCGTCAGCATAGCTGTGCCTGATCTGAAATTGGGCGCTTGCCGGAAACACACACGTATATATATATATATATATATATATTTTTATATAACATACATATATATATACACATTTATTTTACAGGGTAGAAAGTATAGTATAGTACAGTATAGTACAGTATAGTATCGTATAGTATAATTAGTATAGTGTCGTGTAGAGTAGTATAGCATAGTATACCCTAAGCCTGCCTCAAGTCCTGGGATCCTTAGCAAAAGAATCCAAGAAACGGATCGGTAAAAAGCCTGGCGCTTCGGCATTTTTGCAGGCATGGGTTTAGGGTATAATTAGGGCTTGATTCAGACCATAGAAGGGACTGAATTTTCAGCTCTTGGGGTTCTTGACGTTGCCGTTTGTCAGTCAAGTAGTTCCTGGGTTCGGTTAAAGTCTACCCTAAACTTTAGACCCTAGACCCCAGGCCCTAAACTCTAAACCCTAGAACTTAGACCCTAAACCCTGAACTTTAAACACTAGACTCACTAGACCCTAAACCCTAAACCGTCCTTGAATCCCGAGGCCCCGAAAACGCCTGGACCCTGAAGCCCCCGAACCTCAAGCCCCGAGTCGGCCCCTGCTGTGGATGCTTAGGGTTTAGGGTTTAGGGTTTAGGGTTCAGGGTTTAGGGTTTAGGGTTTAGGGTTCAGGGTCTAGGGTTTAGGGTTTAGGGTTTATGGGTTTAGGGTTTAGGGCTAAAGGGCTGTTGGATGAGATGCGGGCGAAAGCCGTCCGGTGATGCAGGGCGTTGATGTTTGGGAGTTTCGTGTTTTGGGTTTGGGGCTGCAGCTTTCGAGGGGTGAGTGGTTGAAAGTTTGGGTTGGCTTTTAGGGCTTCGGTGGTGAATTTGGGCATGCTGTTTCAGGCGTTCAGAGTTGTCGCCCGAGGGGCTTTAGGACAAAACGGGTTCACGGAACCACAGCCCTAAACCCACCTGAACCCCAAGCCCGGAACTCCTTCCAAATTACAAAAGGGGGGTTAGACACAAGGGCCCTTCATTCAAAGATGGCGGGGCTCTTTAGCTGCAAGGTGTTGGATCTCGTATCCTACATGCAATATATATATATATATACACACATAGTTATATATATATATATATCTATGTATGTATGTATCTATGTATGTATGTATGTATGTATGTATGTATGTATGTATGTATGTATGTATGTATGTATGTATGTATGTGTGTGTGTATATATATATATATATAGATAGACTTTAGGGTTTGGGGTTTGGGCAAGGCAGGGTTTAGCTAGGGTTTAGCAAGGGTTTAAAGCTAAATCCCGCAATCCATCCCGAGAAACCCCGGTAAGCAGCCTTGCACACGTTTTGATCAGCAGCTGTAACTTCTCAGTCCCTTGATGCTACGCTCTGAACCGGGTACATAGAAGAAGCTCTTGTAAGCAGCAACCCAGAGCCTGACCCCTAAACACTTTTAGGGTTTGGGGTTTAGGGTTTAGGGCTTACAGTACCAAACTTTTGACCCTAAACTCCATGCCCTACGCCAAATACCTTCAACCCTGGACACTCATTTCTTGAACTCGCTTAATCCACGTTCAGGTAGATCTCTTGCGCAATCCTTGCTACAACTACCCCATCACACCAGAACAAAGCCTTGCAACAAACTTACAAAAACAACTATAAAGCCACCATAACACCGCATAAAACCCATTTTAAAGCACTGGTGACAGTGCTGACAAACATCCGATTAAGCCCTTACGAAAGCCAAACCCCAAAGCCCCCTAGATCCTAAACCCAAGGTTCAGGTAGATCCCGAGATGCTGCTACCGGGTGAGATGTCCCCAAGGGAGCCGGATAGCCCAAAGCCGGGTGGCCGGAGGCCGCTTCGTTGCTCTTTCTGCTTGTTAGACTAGTTTCAGGGGTTACGGTTAGTTTTAGGGTTTAGGGTTAGGGTTTGGGGTTTAGGCGTTATAGGATTTAGGGTGTAGGGTTTAAGGTTTAGGTTTGGGGCCATTTTACATTTTCCAAGATGGGGCTCAAGACGATGTTAGTTACGAGCAGTTTTCAGAGGCGTTAAAGAGCACACCTAGTGCGACAGTCGTAGTTTTGAGGCTCCAGGATGTTAGGCTTTGGGGTTGTCGGGTTCAGGGTTTGGGGGTTTAGGGTCTGGTGTCGAGAGGCTTTAAGCCCTCGCAGGATGTTCTATGGAAAGGTGTCTCTACTACAGGGCAGGGAGGAAGCAGTAGTATTTAATTTTCGTGTCTCTAGAGTTATACTGCAGTAGACCACCCCCCTGAAAAAAACACATTCCCAGTATCCATGTCCCTATATCACTAGTTTGTCTCTGGCTTTCTTGAGCTTCCCTAGACTTTATAAGGGTTCCAGAATACATGGGTGCTAATAGTTGCAGCAAGTCTCCGAGTATAGCATCCTGAGTATATGGGGGCACAAAAAAGAATACTGATTCTACTTATTGCGAGACCCCTATGGTAAGGGGCCCAGTTTTGTGTCAACGTTCGGTGGTCCAGGTATGTATCTGCGGTTTACAGGGTTCAGGGGCTGTGTTCTGCAGTCTGTGGCTTTAAATCTACACGCTGGTAGAAGTCCGTTGTTGTGATTTAGGGTTGGGATTGAGAAGGTGTCATGTTTACGCCCCTGAGGCCTGGATCAGCTTGGTGCCCTAAGCTCAAACCCTAAACTCCTAAGCCTAAGTTCTGAATCCCAAACAAACTCTAAACCCTAAGCCCCAAGCCGTATATGCCCTAGACCCTAAATCCTAAACCCTCACACTTGCAGCTCAAAAGCCAAGCCCCAAACCACAATTGCAAGAGCCCGTGACCCCTGGACCCTTAAACTTTATATTCTTTTTCAATATTTTTTGTTCAGCCTCAACCGCCCAACTCCTGAACCCGAAATGCCAACGTACGTACCTAGACGAGAGGATGTATAGAGGTTGGAAGAAGCAGGAAGATCCCAGAGCCCCTCTAAGATTCTATATGGGAGTTTCCGAAAATAGGGGGGTACCTTATTATTTGGGGTCCTTATAATGGGGATCCTACCATTTAGGGTACTATATTAGGGTCCCCTATTTTTGGGAACCCCCCAAATTTCCTAAGCATAAAGGGCCCTGTAATTAAACCCCAGCTCGGAGCCCAAACTCCGCGCGAGACTGCTTTGCCAGGCCTTTTGTGGGCCGTACTGGGAGCCAGGCAGCGACATCTGGGCTCGCGGACGGATATCCCTAAACCCTAAACGGTACAATGCAGTTGTCTTTGCGGTGGAGGGGGGTCAAAGTCAGAGATCCCAAAATCCCTTAAGGAAGGGATGTATCATCAATTATGCTACAGATCCCTTTAGGGCGCATTCCTTGTTTGAGGGGTTTGGATTCAGGGTTCCCTTTGACGGGCTTGAGTTGCAGCCTTGGCTATGGTGTTCAGGTGTATGGTAAAGTCTACACGTCTGCTGGGTCCCGGCCACAGATATATTCGGGCCGGGTATGATGCAGTCATGAAGAAAGTTTTGCTACTAGCAAGGGCGGCGAGTATTTGAGGCTCACTACACAAGCAGCGCCGTCCGGCAAGCACGGCACTTCGTCACTTAAGTGCGGAACCCGGAAGCCACAAGACCCTATATCGTTTTATAGATCCCTTCGGCACACCAAAAACAAGCTTCCAAATACTGAGATCCCGCAAAGCCCCCATCCGGCGTGACCACTAAGCTTCGCCCAATCTGAAAAAAACTTCGCCCGCCGCACTCATGTTAGCTTTGGGGCACTCAACCGGCCTCTTCAAGGCGCTCACATGCTCCGTATGTAAGATTTCGTCGTCGTTGAGTATTTACGCCACGATACCTCCTTGTGGACCCGTGGAAATCAACGCGGAATGTATTCCAAAGGTCTACTCTACGATTGACGATCCCGATCATTAAACCGTGACCCTGTCTAATTATTCTAGCCTGCGTCCCCAAATTATCCTGGACTCTAGACCCCACTTGGGAGGCGAACGCCAGCGACGACACGATCTTCGACCCGGCCGACGACCTGGACAGCACAGAGACTCCCAACGGTTGAAGGTTTTCTATAGGGTTTTAGGATTGTTACATGGTTTCTATAAGTGTTGCTATGAAGGGTACTGCAAGGGGCACTTTAAGGCTTCCTATCAGGTTTAGGGTCAAGATCTAAATAGAAGCCCTCCCAAGTCTCCAAGCCCTGCTCGGATTGAGATCTTCGCGACGGGTAGGCTCATCAAGCTCGGCACCTATGGCAGAGGTTGATCTTCTATGGCAGAAGCCGAAAAGGTCGAGACAAGCCCTGTACTGTCTTGAACCAAAGATTCGAACCATCATGGTCTTATGGCCCCAAGCCCACCTCAAGCCCTGATGTCATCATCTACACTTGAGAGGGAGTATAGCCTTAACCCTAAACCCTAAATTCCTAAAACCCTAAACCCTAAAACCCTAAAACCCTAAAACCTTAAAACCCTAAACCCTAAACCCTACACCCTAAACCAGTAAGCCCACCGAATGCCGCAGGAGGTGGACCTCGAGGTCGCGCAGATCATGGAGCCGAATCTCCCACCACTCACAGGTCGCGCTTCTGGGGCTTACAGCTTGGGGTTTAGGGTTTAGGGCTTAGGGGGTTTAGGGTTTAAGGGTTTAGGGTTTAAGGGTTTAGGGCTTAGGGTTTAGGGCTTAGGGGGTTTACGGCTTAGGGTTTAGGGTTTAAGGTAGAGGGTTTAGAGCTCAGGGCTTCTAGAGTCTTACAGAGCCTTTGGGAGTTCTATAGATCTTCGCGTTTTCACATAGCACGTTTCCACTAAAATCGAGAATGCTGCTTAAAGTGTTGTAGTTGAGTTTTTGGGAGGAAGATGAGCTGTGGAACTGTACAAGAGAAGGCCCCCAAAGCCTCTTTGGCGCTTGTGTGCGACTTCCATTGAAAATAAGGGGTCGTTGCAGTGTAAAGAAGCTCCCATGCTGGCATATGCCGACCCTAAGCAGGGCACGGACCCCCGAAGCCCTTCAACCCTAAACCCTAAACCCTAAACCCTAAACCCTAAACCCTAAACCCTAAACCCAACCCTTCAACCCAGAAACCCCTCAAAACGTCAGCACTTATCTCGGTCAGCCTTAATTACACCCCAAACCCCAAAACCTGAAACCCCTAAACCCTAAACCCCTGAAGCCTGAACCGTAAGCCCCTAAACCCCTAAACCCCTAAACCCCCAAACCTTAACCCCTATAGACCCTATAAACCCCTAAATAAAGCCCCCAATTAAACCCTTAAGCCCCTAAACCCTAAACCCCCAAACCCCCAACCCTAAAACGTGTAGGGGTTTAGGGGATACTTTGCTAATCAGTTTTGGATTTTTAGTGTTTGGCTGGAGCACAAAAAGCTTGGGTTTAGAGATTGTGGATTCAGGGTTCAGGGTTTGGTTGGGTTTTTAGATGGTTTAACATATGGAGCCCTTACCAAATCCGAGTTACAGGGGGGAACTTCTGACTTGAAACTCTTTAACCCGCCAACAGACCCCAGTTTAGAGCTCAGCGTAATCATTGAATACCGCAGATGCCTGCAAGTTCCGAGCACTAATTACAGTACCCTAAAACCCTAAATCCTAACCCTGAACCCTGAACCCTGAACCCTAAAACCCCAAACCCTAAACCCTGAACCCTAAACCCTCAACCCTAAAACCCTGAACGCTAAAACCCCATGCGACTAGTGGCCCCTGCCATATAAAACCCCGGAGGATTCTCGATAGAACCCTCACGGGCGCTGCAAGAAGGAACTCCAAACAAGCCCTTTGAAGAACCCGGAAAGGACTCCTTAAACCCCCAACTAAACCCCTAATATAGGTGCTTCAATAATGACCTATATTACTTTGGGGGTTCCTTATTTTAATTACAGTCCTAGTATACCCCAACACCCTATTCTAACTATTAAGGCGCCTACATTAAACGCGAATGAAACTAAGGTTCACACCTCCAGCTAACCTTAAGCCTGCTCTTAGACGACCTTTGGAGTCCAAGTTTAGGGTTTAGAGTTTGAGGTTTAGAGTCCTCAAATACTAATCCCTTAACTCTTAGGATTTAGGATTTAAGGTTCACGGTAAGGGCTCAAGGTTTAACCTCTGGCGTAAGCCTCAAACACGAAACACGAAGCCCTGAAGCCCAAAATGCTCAACCCTTAACCCTGTTCAGCTTTCTCTCGTGACAGGGCGTGAGCGATCGAAGAGCGCCGCCAAGAGTGGCAGCAAGCGCGCGGTGACACTTCCTACTGAGGCGTCCCGTGGGTGTAGGTCTTTGGGGCTAACCAGGCTAAAGTCTTTAAGTCTGCAGGGTTTGCTGGACCTCTTTTTGGAAACGCCCGTGGCCTGTGCATCAACCTACAACTCCGTCGCCCCAAATCTTTGGTTGCCCAGCGGTGGACTACAAACTTTTTGGCAAGATGTGTATTTGTTTAATATAGGTTTTGGCTGGTAGCTTAAGCGACAGAAGTGAAAGTAAACATAGGGGCATGGGGAAGTAGGATAGGTTCAGGCGGGGTGACATTTTTGATCTTGCGACTCTATTTTCTTGTGGCGGTCCAACACAAGGGGGTACGCCCGCGACGCTGGGCCCGGGGCCCGGTGTCGGTGGTGCCTGTAGATAACAACATGCGCGTGCGACGCCTGGCATTGAAAAGTCCAACCCGCAAAAAATCCGAACATCGGCGGCAGCACAACTGCATGTACGTGACACCTGGACAGGCATACCCTGGACAACAATAGCCATACTGTGAAATACAATTTATAATTTCCAACATGTCCGACTCTGCTCAAGACGGGCCTGCGTCGGCCGCACTCCCTTGACTGCGAGAATCCCATGGAGTACATCAGCAATACCACAACTACCATGCTCGATCAACTTCATGCACCAATCGAGATGACTGCAGTCCGCAATACGATGAAGCGCGCTTGAGTGACAGGGCATCTAAGACTGCCTTGGGTCCGGGCACACAGGAATACTTCATGTATGCATTGTCTCATGCCGACTGCGGTGCGGACATGGAATAGCAATCGATTGCATGAGATAACGACGGACATCATCCTATCATCTTGAGATAGGCCAGAAAGTTCAACCTTTCTGCGCAGGGTCCACCGGGAAAGTAAGAATCGGGCAGTAAATTTTAAGGGTCCAGTGTTTGGTGTTGGAGGTGTTGTTTCTGGCTGACGGGATACAGCCTAATCAATCGTGGTAGGCTTGAATCTGGCATGATGCGGGGCTGGGAGTAAAGCGAGGATATTTCCTTGTAGTCCGTACATAATCAAAGAGAACCATAGTATTCCACCCGAAAGACCTGTTCTAAGCATCAAGGTCCACACTTCGGCGCTGAGCCGCTAAGCGCACAGCATCCTAAACCCCAAACCAGTTCAGCAGTTAAGACCTAAACTCCAAACTAAACTCCTATACTGCTCCTCAAGAACCTCGAAACTGAACCGCTGGCAGGTTTAGGGTTTAGGGGCTCTAGTCTTCAAGTACACGACTTCTCGGAGTCTCTAAGAAGCCTTTTGCAAGCATGTGCTGGGCCCCCCAAAAAAATCCAGAACCCCGGAGTCCCAAACCCCTAAGGGGTTAGGGGTTAAGGGTCTAGGGTTTAGTAATTTAGGGCTTCCCTAAACTCAAAAAACCTTCAACCCCCCAAGGCCGATCTCTCGCAAGCACCGAGCCCCGGCGATTGCTTTGGCTGAGTTGGTTGTATGTTTTTGAGGAGCTTATTCTCGGATGCGCTGGGGGGGGGTGGCTGTTGCTCTGGCGGCGCTGTGGTCAAGGAATTTGCTTGTTGTCGACATGGATTGTGAAGCTAAGGTTGTGCGGGCTAGGGGTTTGTAATTTATAAGGCTTTCCACAGGGGTTCACGCATGGGGTTTTGGTTCTGTAGGGTTCTTGACAGTGTTGTCTAGTAAGTGTCCAAGCTTTCTTAGTATGGTAACTTAACAAACGACAAGAATCACCCCCGGGTGGGTCGCCTACAAACCGAGTATGGTTTCATGCTGTCCTTCAGTTCACATGATTCCAGCTTTGGGTCGGTTGGGGGGCAGTTTGTGTTTTAGGTAGGGTTTGGGGTGTAGTATTTTGAAGGCCCCCCGGAAAGGGTTTGACATAGTTCTTGCCCAAAGAATGTTTGTCGGTCCCCTAATCCCTAAGCCCCAAACCCTAAAGCCCAAACCCTAAACCCCAAATCCTAAACCCTAAACTGTAAGGGTTTTGAGGGTTTGGTGTGTAAACAGTTCGTCGGAACCCCAGGCCATGAGGCCGAACAAAGCATTGAAACCCCAAACCCCAAACGACAGACCTATCTAATATAGGGTTTTTAATAATTAGAATATGGTTTGGAGGGTTCCTTTATTATAATTATGGTATAATGTACCCCAAACCCTATTCTAATTATTAAGGCCCTTACATTAGTGCCAAGGGCCGACGATTAGGTTTAGGGTTAAGTTTGAGACTCAGGTTCAGAGTTTTCACTAAGCCTCCAGTGCCTACTGTAGAGGGTACTAGAGCCCCTAGGGCCCTAAATAGTAGGCACCTGGAGGGTTACGGTCTAGGATTAGACACTTTATGGGTTTAGGTTTAGGGTGAAGATTTTATGGTGAAGATTTTATAGAGGCTACAAGGCTTGAAGGCCGCGGAACCCTTGAGTCTAGAGGATGCTAAGCCAGGATCGACATGCGTTTTGTTCCAAAACACCCCTTTAGAGGGGTGTCGAAACTTAATCCTTGAAGGAAAGCGTAACCGGCCCTAAAATCTTGCATCCTGAAGACAAAACTAAACCCAATAAATTAGCCCCTACTTCCTAAAATCCCGGGAGGCGAGTGCAGAGGCCTGAACAGTAAAAGCATCCCCGTTGTCATCCCTGTGTGACTGTACCGTATCTTACTCTGATTATGAAGGCAGCTAGAACACCAGCCCAGGCTGATGACGATCAGCTCGCAGGCAAACTGTGGCGGTCCCAGGGGGCGCGGGTTTAGGCTTTCAGGTTTCAGGGTTTTTGGGGTTCAGAGGGTTTTGGGCTTTGCGATGCTTGGGTATTTTTGTGTAGGAGCTTGTGTGGGGTGAGAGATTTACTGTCAGCTCTCAGCCCTCAACCCTAAACCTTAAAAGGAGGTTCAGCTTTGGGGTTAGGCTTTAGACTGAGCTTGAGGGCTTGGGTTCTCTTGGAGGGTCATACCCAAGCCTCCGTCTTGCCCTAAGCCCTAAGCCCTAAACCCTAAACCCCTACACCAGTTCAGCACTTTCTTGAAATCCGATAAGCCCTGAAAGACGCTCCGAGCTCCTCTAAAGCCTTCTAAGACCGTGCAGTTCTTATGGGAACCTAGGAATTCCCAAACCCTAAACCCTATAACCTAAGCCCAAAACCTAAACCCTAAACCCTAAACCCCAAAACCTAAACCCTAAACCCTAAACCCCATAACCTAAGCCCAAACCCTAAACCCTAAACCCTAAACCCTAAACTTTAAACCCTAAACCCTAAACCCTAAACCCTAAACCCTAAACCCTAAACCCTAAACCCAAGCCCCGAACCCCCTGAAACCTATACCCTAAAGCCTGAAACCCTTGCATATGAGCGCCACTGGCCGCCTCAAGGCAAGGCTTCGCTGCTGCCCTCCCGGAGGGTTGCTTCAGGGTCTGGGGTTTAGGGCTTAGGGTTTAGGGTTTAGGGTTTAGGCTTTTTCGGGCGTTAGGATTCTTTAGGGGCTATGGGGTTTAGGGTTTAAGGCTCAT